GGAAGGAGATGAGGTCTGAGGGAGCACCCTACTAATGCATCTGCAAATCAAATTTTTATTTGAAGATAAGTTCATTTGATCCTTATTTTTTCGAAGAGTTTAAGAAATTCTTCAAAAAACTTTTTTTTTAAAAGAAACTCTTCAGAAAATCAACGGCTTTTTTCTCTTTTGAATTACCTGGAAGAACTGTTAATTCACGGCTGTGAAGCTAATTACTTTTAAATGATGCTGTATCGCCGGTTCTTGAACCTGCTAGCAATCCTGATGTTCGTTTCGTCTCCTAAACGATTTGCCAACTCATTGATCCCTCCAACACCAACATCTGGCAAAGCTTTAGCCGTTGCGAGATATGTCTGGCATATTTTGAGCATCATCACATCCTCCTGAATCTAACGTAACAGTGCTTCGGTTAGAAGTTCGTTTTTTCAGTTATCTGTGTTTTTCTTTTTCGTTAAAAAATGCACCAGTAAATACGAATTGCGCAACCGATATTGTTATTACAAAGTGATTTTTCGTTCATTGAATTTTTTTATGCCTGTTACAATGATATCAGTAAGAAAGTATGCGCGAAAAATATACCTATTACAGTGATATCAGTATGAAAGTGCGAAATATATATGATTTGAAGGCGCAAATGATTCTGCTCTGGATTCAATAAATCGCGGATTTATTTCCCATTCCCACTTATTTTTCCCCGTAGTATTTGTTTGAAGAAGGCAATTCTACTCACTTTACCCTGTCATTTTCACTTATAAACATTTATTTTTATTTCTCTATAACATTGGCATGCGATAGTACTGTGAACAAAATAATATTGTATGCGTGCTTTCTATATCCAGAAATAAAGAGTACCTGATACTTTTGCACCTAAAAATACATTGTTTGCCAGTACTTTTCGCAGTTTATCTAAGTTTTCATAAACGAATCTCGGTTTTGTAACCGGAAAGGAATCGAACCACTCCTCTTCACATCCGAATGCAACGTGCAGTGAGGACATTGCAATGCTGGTTTAGCCGGGAAGTACGTCGACTGTGTTTCGGTTAAGGCGGAATACATCTGTTTTCTGCCATCGATAGGCAGTATATGCCTTTCTTTTTTCTACTGTTTAAGACGTGCGTAGATTTGTAGTGGCTTTTTTGGGTGCTTTCTCAAGGATTTCGGGAGATATATTAGTAACGGCGGTAACGGTAAGAAATGTATACGACTTAATGAACCGAAACGTTTCTTACCTGCTACAAATATTTCCTCAGTCCCCTTTTCCCATCTTACTTCGTTTTTTCTTCGTTTTCTTCCCTTCATATTTTCTCTTCAACCTTTAATATGTGTAGTTTTGGTGCAATGGACTGTGCGCAGTATAGTGCTGAAGATCGTTGGTTTAACTTTGGGGATGCAGAATCAGTCTCACTGCGATTCGTTCATTCGTTTCGATGGTAAATTGGTACTGGCATATGCTTGAACGTCAAAACTTTTATAAACTATAGCTTGCTCATGAGGAACATTTGGGAAGAGGGGGGTCATCGGAAACCTTGTCCATGCATGTTCTTCTGTTGGCCTTGCATCTGCTGCTTGCCTATAACAACTAATTTTTAAAATTGCATGGTCATTCGTACTTACACCATATGGAAAAATACATAGAAAAGTGAATAATCTGAAGGAGTATTTAGGTGATGAAAAAAGCCCCTACAATAAGTGATGAATAATGTAGGATACAAAGGGGGAATCGAGGACTGTCCGAGTTGGCAAATTTTCACCCTTTAAAAAAAAATTTCCTTCCCTTTTTATTACTTTATATTACCGCAATCGTCGTACTGACAAAGTCCATTGTAGTACCAATCGGAGCGTATATGACTTAATGGACCGAGACATTCCAATAACAGTGACAATAAAGATATTAGTGTTGATACGTTTGAAATATAAGAAATATATTAAAAAATTAAAATGTCTCAAAAAACAATGGAACTACTCCGGACATTCTTTATTCTTAAAGCAAAAATGTTATGCCAAACCCTGTCGGTCGTAGGCTTCATACCTGTAGTTAGTACTCAGCACCCGTACTTGGCATATGCGCCATCTTATCAGGGACTGCCTGAGGTCGTTTACTTTCTCAGCGGTACCACTCACTGATATTTGACTTTCACGGGTTGTCAGCAAGGCGAGCAACATGCCCTGACTGTCAAAATTAAGGGGTATTTATATTAAAAAAAATACTTCAAGTTATTGGTTTTTGTAAAATAATTCGTAGCTAGGACGTTGGGTGATTGTTACAGATTCCGTATTTAGAGGTAAGGTAGAAAATGAGAAAAAAGAAGAGAAGGAGAACGAAGTGAAAAAACAGGGGAAGGGAAATATTAAAATATTTGTAGTTGGTAAGAAATGTTTCAATCCATTAAGTCGTATATCTTTCTTAGAATTAATTATTTAGAGAAATATTTGAAATTTACGTACCTTGGTGCCTAGTATGCGTTACGAATTCTGAAAAAAAGTCATGTTTTTGGATTAGACTGTACTGGGTGTGGCGGAAGCTAATATTCGAGCAGGGGATTTTTTCCAATATTCTGTTTATTTTCATTGTTATCAATGCTTATTAGCCATTATTCAATCTTATTGGTAAATGGGAAGATTAACTTATAAAAAACAGTTTAAGAAATCGTAAAAAAATTTTTAAAACACGCTCAAAATTCAAAAAATTTTACATGGAAAACTTTTGTGTGGCTCATAATTCATTAAAAAATCGAAATAAAAAGCAAATTTTTGCTTTTTATTTTGGAATTTTTTGAAAAATTCACTAATAAAGGGTACTGGATGAGAGTTATAGAGTAAAAATCACAGACGTAATTAGAGGTGCGTCAGCTCGGAATCGAAGGGTCTGGCATAGCTGTACCTGACGTCTGGGAGTTGCTCAGTAATGTTACCAGTATGGGATATCCACAAAGATAGCCCGAACAGTCTTAATATTCACGGTGTCGGAACTGTTTTTTTTTTTCTTAATATCGATATTATCGCTTGTAACAACTTTATACACCGGATATTATCGCTTATAACAACTTGATGCTCATAGACATGGCTCTTACTCCCGACCTACACTACTCTTGTTTACTTCTACATCCCATCATCTCTACCTTCAGGATTGACCTGAAGGCTGCAACCTAATGGACCGAAACATTTCTTACCATTATAATAATTTTATTAAACTAATTTTACCACTTTTACTGATTTTTTAATTCTAATTTTCTCTTCGATTCTCCTTCGTATTTCAATATGCCCTTCTGTTATCATTTAGAGAGCTTCTGAAGAATTTTTTCTATTTTTTTGAGATTCAGGTTTCGTGCTTCAGATACCCACTTGCTGTGCTTCCACACTTTATTTCTAGGGCAGAGCGGATGAGCAACTCGTTTGCAGCAGTTGATCAACCAAGGAGTGATGTAAAAATTCTTCGTGATTTCAGTTGGTGCGCAAAGGTTAACTGTTTCCCCATCCATCAAATTCTTATCGCTCCAAAAAACAAAAAAAAAAAAACAAGCAGTCGAAAACCCGTTCACTGTTTATCGCTTTCTGCCCGATGAACTTCCAAAAGTTGTTTTGTGGTGCCAAAGTCGCAACAGAACTCCAGTAGTCCCTTGATCTTTCTTGGCTATTTATAGTCCGAAATTCATGGAAAAGCCA